GGGTGAGTAAGCTAACTTCAAACTATACCATCTGTTCCTCAGAAACCCTATATAGTATTCCTGTGAGTTGGAACCAACTTGACGACTCTAACAATTACTGGTAAACTCAGAGGACTGTAATGAGATGCTATATGCCAACTGACTTCTTGCCCCACTGTGACAGGGCAGAGATGTGAGCAAAGTCTGGGTACAGACAAGCCACAAGGTGACTCAGCACCTCTGAACTTGGTGGTTTGGCCATTGGTTGGGAAAAAATTCCACATGGAAGGCCTAATGCCTGGAATTGCAGAATTCATCTAGTCAACCAGGACAACTGGCAGTTATCTGCCATTCCAGCTTGTGCTATATGTATATGTGTGTGTGTGTGTGTGTGTGTGCTATATAGGGCCAAGGCAGTGTGTCAACTCTTTTTTTCCTACATTTCATTCTATTATACCAATATGACCCTTTGTGACTGTTTTTGGTTCCAACTCATAGCAACCCTATGCACAACAGAATGAGACACTGTTGTCCTTCACCTTCCTCACGAATGTTGCTGCCACGGTGTCAATCCATCCATTGAAATCCTGTTTTTGCTGACCCTCTACTTTGTGACAGTTCTTGTGTGCCTATGAGTAGATTCCACCTCAGAGACCCTTCCTTGTAAAGGGTTTCCAAAAGTGGCTGGTGGGTTTGAACTGCTGACCTTGTGGTTTGCAGTCCAGTGATTATCCTATCATAGTTCCAAACCAGGGCTCTATTAATGATAAATTCTGGTACCTCAAACACCAGTTACGATGGCAAAACGGTAGGTTCATACACAAACAATTTGAATAAGAATTTATTTCTTAAACTTAAAAGGATTAGACCTGATATATGAGAGACTATTTACGATAATGTCAACACAATAAAATGGTTACATTTAGTACATGCAATTCACTGCAAATGTAAAAAGTACATGTCACACTCTTGAGGTGGGGTACAACAGCAAGTGAACTTGAAAGGGCTACATTTACAAGTCAGCGGGACACAGCTAGGCTAGCAAAAGGAGACAGACCCCTAAGCTACTCACTGCAGTGTAGTCCTAGCGGGTTGCACACTTTTAGAGTATTCAATATACATATACATGAAAATGACTCTTTAAATATCCATCTTTAAAACACCCCTTTGTTTCGGAACACATCACATTTTGGTATCCACGTAACAGCATTTGAAAGATGTACTTATCACTTGGACAAAACTTCAATTCACGAGACGTCACGATCAGCCTTAAACACACTTTCACCATTATCTACCAATTTTAATAAAGAACTGGGAAATAAAAGTTTAACTAATAAATTTATGGGAACCACTGTCTGCAAAAAGCTCTTAAAAATGTAGGGACGAACAAGAGCTCATTCTGAGTTGTCGTTTTCAAAAAAATACATTTCAAGTTGAACTGTATACTTGAACATCTTGTCAATGCACATACTGGTACTATACGATAAAGATTAAAATAAAAATAAAAGACTAACCCAAAAGATGTTATATTTGGCTTTGGAAAAATTTTATTTTAATTTGATTTTTTTACTTTGATCTCACTAGAATAATAAGAATTAAATGCATTTCCAAGGAAATGCTGATATGCTGATGGTATCCGTGGACTATTTGCTCATAAAGACTGACAGAAAGTACTGTAACTAAGCCGTAAGTTTGCTAGTTTATACCGTCTCTGAAACTGATGACAATGCCCAATTCTAGTTTTAGGCTAAATCTAAGTTATGTTGCCATCCTATAGCACTGTTATTTCACTTAATTTACATAAAAGTACAAAATAAAATTAAAAAATCCTTACTTGGGTAATGGAATCTAATACTAAGTACAATAGAAAGGTAACTCAATAATATATTCTATGTAGTTATATTATCACAGCAATTAAATGCGGTTTAAAGATCTACTCATAAAAATCCGCTGAGCAAAATTAGTTGGTAAGAATGATGTAAAATCTGACAGAACGGCAAGAGAGCTCTCCTGCCCTGTTTAGTCCATACATGTCCATAACCAAAAACATTTTAGGAAATTCTACTATATTTTAGTTATTAATATAGTTATTCTAGTCTATATTTATGCCATAATTTTGACTAACCATAAGGGTAGGGGAAAAAAAAAACCTTTGAAACTTTCAATGTGTCTGATTTTCATGTAGATTTTTAAGTATTCTACTTGAAACCTAATACATTTTATTTAAGTATACATTAGAATCAATCTTTTTCCTCACAAGAAGAGCTAGGGTCATTGGATGACTTCAACAAAGAGGCAATTTAAAACAAATGGGTAGAGAACAGATGTAAACACAGAGCATATAAATGATTTTGTTACCCCTGGTTTTTACTAAAATATTTGGTATGATTTATGTTAAAAAACATTAAAGTTTAGATTAAAATGAATAGAAGGTTTGCAGTTTTGTAGGTTTTCAGTAGTTTTTAGCATCATGTCTTTGGGAGGGATGAGGATGGATACCAAAAACCGTGACTAACTGTCAAACACCACATGGAACATACACAGAGTTATTCCTCCCAATCCTACAAGAGGATAAGGACATAAGATGCAGTGAATTTGTTTTATCTACAAAGAGGCTGTTTTCTGATGTGTTAGCATTATTTTAAAGATAGACAAAAGTTGGGGATATTAAAGATTTAAAGTCTAATGAATCTACTAACTTATATGTAGACTAGTTTCACATAAATAAACTGGATTTGTTCTTCTGCCTACCTAAAACACAATTACATGCATCAAAACATAGATTATTCTAAGACATGCTCTAGGAAAATAATTCTGTATTTTAACACAAGTTTCATGATTACTGTTCTCTATAGGGCAGAGATGTATGTTACATATTAGTGTTCAAATATTCACTTCCTGAATGAATGACGCTTTGCACAATAACCATATATCCATTTAATAGGTCTAACGTGCTCTTGTGGCTGAAGTGTCCACTCACTGCACCATGCTCTATATAGATTCCCAAACGCAATTTTGCTTACAATTTGCTTTCATTCTTTTAAATCACAAGTTCACAATTATTATAACTGTCCCCACCCCCAAATGCACACATTTCACACTGCAATGCTCTTCACAATACTGTCATTTGTTATGAGGAAGTTTATAGCTAAGAACATGACTACAATAACATGACTACTTACTTGGACGTATAAAAAAATAGGTAACAATTTCCTGACACACCTATAGTACGATAAAGCTAGACCTGTCCTGGACCAGCCTTTGATGATCACCTTTAATGGTGGTGATACCATTACCTTGTAGTGTGAGTTCGGGTTTCTCTGTCCCTACTAAACTGCATGTGCCTAATTTTCCTCATCTGCTTCTAACTCTGTCATTTCTCCAATTTCACAATGGTTTTGACTCAAGTAGAAAACTGGATATATCAAAATACAGCATCTGGTCTGTTTCACAAGGGTAAAAGTATTAAGCACTATATAAATGCAAAAATACAAAGGATAAAACAGAAAGTATAATGTGAACATTAGTAAAAGGAAAAAGTAGAATTGCATTTAAACTATAAATGCATACCAATTTTTCTTAGTCTTTTACTCTTCCTATCTTCTAAAATATTTTAAGTTGACCTGACTTCTGTACTATAAATATGATAGAAAACCAAAATTTACTTTCTCCAAACTTATTTGACAGCAGTCTAGTCTAGAATGAAACCATTAATGGTTAATGACAATTTTTCCTGTATTTCTTCAGCCCCTATCTTTAGGTTCTGCCCTGTCCAATATGAGATGGCATGCATGTATGAGGCAGCTTCAAAAAGATTGTGGAAACATTATGCATCTTTTACTCTCACAAAATTTTTGAAGCCTCTCAGATACGTGGGTTTAGCACTAAACTCTGGAGGACTATCTCATTTCTCCCCTGAAAAACAGAAGTTTTGAGAAAAGATTTAAAATATTCCTAAATCATAATGTAGAATTAAATCCTTCTTCACCTCCGAACTGTGGATATTAAAATAACACTTCTTCATCAAGTGCCTCTATAGTAAGGATCTCCATTAACGGTGATATTTACATTCTGGAGTTTCTGTGTGTTTTGGTGAGCAGTGCCCAAGTCCTCTAACATAGTTTGCTTCAAATAAAGAAGAATTTTTCAATCTTGTCCTACTTAATAAAAATATATAAAATTAAAACACATTTAAACTGTAGATATACAGTATATTTTATAAAGTGCTTTGTAAACCATGTCTTCTCAAATCTTAACAGGGAGGGACATTAATTTTGTATGTATACATGTATAGAAACACGTTACATTTAGTCCTTTAGAAGCAGTGAACAATTTTGAAATTGTTTCAGATCGAATGAAGGCCTTTATTCCTAGTTCTAGCTGGGCACCCTGCTGAGTCTGTAGAAATGGGTTCTCAAAGACACGGTCAAATACAAATGTAAAATAAATTTTTGAAAAAATAGCGAGGTTACTAATTATGTAATAATACAAAGAATATTTTTGATCTGCCAAGTTAAAGCTCAAAAATTCCTTTTTCTTTGCTCAGATGAGAGACCTGTTTTTTAAACTATGCTGTCAATTGAAGGAGAAGGTTTTAGACTTGGCTCCTCTCATTTTTTATATTAATTTTTCCTATACCACTTTATTTGATGATTACATTCAACAAAATGTATATACTTGTGATCACTAAATATTTTGCTGCATATTACGTAAATACCCTCAGTTTTCTACATAGCAAAACAACAAGTTTTAGTTTATAAATTCCAGGCAAGCTTTCTGTTTCTCATCAGTGCAAACATCCTGAAACAGCACAAAGTAAATCAGCTATTCAGGGGGATGAAGTCAGTTTATGTAGTGCTTAGAGTAATCTTGGATATTCTGGAATGGAAATAGCTCATGTGAAAGTACAATCTTTTGTCCTTAGGGGCAAATGATCATCTTCAGTGAGTGAAGATTATTTTCACCTGAAATGACAGATAAACCATTTTAGCTTTGCTGGAGTTGGAATAGAAAGTAGTCTTTTACTGAGGTACGTAACCACCTTGTCTTACAGTTTGTGGTAAGTAACTTTTAGGCATTCCTTCATCCATTCCAACGGTTTCAAATCTCTTTATTTCTTCGTGTGTACCTGGACCAAAAGCATCTTTTGTAGAAACTTCTTGAAACATTTTCATTTGCCCAGATCCACAGGACTGTGAAATGTGATCTGAAATCTGCTGCTGTTTAAGTCTGACAAAATCTTCCTCATTGACTGATGAAACTTGCTTTGACCTTTCAAAATGTGGAATATCTTGACCGGTTTCAGGCTGACTGCAATTTTGTTTGAAATATTGTTGCCTGGGCAATATGCTATCACTGCTGCCTACATTATCTACTAACTGTAGGTCTTCTGGACGTTCCTCTGAGTCTAACAAGGGCTGGGTGGACTCAGATCTTGCGAAGACTTGGACTGATGGAACCTGGTGTCTGTAGCCGCTGTGCACCACAGTAGAATATTGAACAGTGCTCGAAGTGTTTTGTCCAGATTCATTTTCATCACCGCTTGAAATGCTTGGCCTTGATGATGACATGCATGAAGACCCTCCAATACCACTGCTGTGTCCCTCAGTACTAATCTTGTCCTTCTTAAATAGGTCCAGTGATTTCAGATCTTCTGGTAAAGACTTTTTCACATTTGCTTCTATTTCCACAACACTTACATCAGTGAAATTGCCATCTGGATACATTTGATCTTTAGGATTAAAATTGTGCTACGAAAGAGAAGAAGATGGCTTGTTACCTATGGTATATATTTATATCATTTTAGAAACACTTAAAGAGACACGTATAACAAATATGAGAGTACTTCAAAAGTTTATGGAAAATAGAAGATAGTGGAATTTTTCCACAACCTTTTTCAAGCCCCCTTGTATTGCTGTCACAAAATCACTGTGATCTAGCTGAATTATAAGCACTGCGAACCTGCTGCATTTCTTTAGAACTTCCAAATCATGTTTTGATAAATTAATGTCTACAAATAATTTGTCATAAATAGAAAATGACTAGACAGTCTATCGGTATAACATAACATACAATAAGGAAAACCAAACTTAAGTGACTGGGATTATAGAATATAAAAGTATACATTTTATCCTGTTAATACAATTCAAAGATCATTTACTTATCATTTGCTCCTTTAATACATACGTTTAAGGTCAAAGACTTTAGTTCAGGTTCCCTGAAATCATTTAAGTATTGAAATGGCAGACTATTAAACCTGGTTTTAGCACTTAAAAGTTTACAATTCTCAAGTTTAATAAAATATTTTTAATGTTTACAGAATCGAACTAGGAGCATCAATTTAGACAATCTTTTGGTTGAACTCTACACATGAATCCTAATTGGCCTGAACATTACCAGTACTGAGAAGCATTTTGTCTTACCCTTGGAGGTGTGTGAGGTGACCACTGGGCAATATGACTCTTTGAAGGATCTGGAACATTAGGCCAGATATGCTTTTTAATCCTGGAGAGGAAAGAAATATGACATGTATGGAACTACAGGCAACAGACAATGCAGAGTATCTCTTTCTAAACACATTCACCTATGAATTTAAAAACCAAAGCCATTTATAAAATAGATTTAAAAAATCCCAAAGTCAAAACAACATTTTTTTTCTTCTGATAATCAACAGAAAAATACTGTTATAATTGGCTAAGGATCTCTACCCGTTCATTTAAAAAATGTTATCAAGGTTGAAAAATATTTGACAAAAACTATGTAACCAAAATACATGAAGAAAGCTAACAATATACCAAAAAACCCCACAAAAAACTCTGAAATAAAATCCTGTATGAAAAATCACTGAAGAACCTTAGCTAGGTTAAGAAATATTGTGATTACACCCCTACCCAACCAAAACAAATTTTAAAAAGTTCAGTTTATAAGTAAAAGAATCTAGATAGCTAGTTAAACAATGATAACGAATAAAATACCATAAATTTGATTTTTTACAAGAAAAATAAGCAGACAATAGTAAATATATGCAAAGCATTCAGGATATCCATATCATTAAAACTTACTTAAGGTTGTACAGGGGGTTGCTATGAGTCAAAACGGCACCCAACAACAACTGCAATAGTGGACAATATGCATTGGTCAAAACCCACAGGAAGATACAACACAAAGAATTAACTCTAATGGAAACAATGCACTTTAGTTAATAATAATATATAAATGCAAGGGACTTAGGAAAAGTTCATGGGAAAATGGAGCGATAAGCCCCCTTGTATGGGTTTATCAGCTGTAACAAATGTACCATATAAATGCCAAGATGTTGGGAAGAGGAGAAACAGTGTACAGGGAGAGAAGGGGTAAACTGGAACGCTGTACAATTTCTCTGTAAACACAAAACTGCTCTAGGAAATAAAGTATATTTATAAACAAAGTCAAAAAACCCTTTTAACGTTCACCATAATACAGTTCCTAGCTTAAAGATAGAGGTACAGTAAGTACACAGTAAGCAGGTGTACAAGAGGTGAATCATCAGACTGACTCTCTGCAGAAAACAATTATAACATCGAGACATAATATAAAACAATGAAGCCCACAACCTTGATAAAATGGATGAGTTCACTGAAAGACAAGTTACCAAAAGACTGAAGAAAAGAGAAACTTCGATAGCCCTATATTTATAAAGAAACTGAATTTTTAATTAAAAACTATCTCAAAGAAAACTCCAGACTGAGATGGCTTTCTTTATTTTTGAGTTCTATGAAACAGTTAAATAAGAAACACTAATGTTCTACAAACTATACCAGAAAATAGAAGAAGTAATTCTTTTTATGAGGCCAATATTACCCTGGTTCCAATATCAGAAAATGACATGCCCCAAAAGGACAAATTAATATTATTCATAAACATCTACATAAAAATCTAATAATATTTGAACCAAATGAATCCAGTTACATGCCAAGAATGCAAGGATGGTGTAATATCTGAAAAAGTCAGTGGGAACTCACCATATCTGTAGAATAAAGGAGGAAAAACCTCATAATCATTTCAACAGATGCTGAATAAGTATCTGATGAAATTTAACACACATTCAAGAGAAAAAACAAAAACCTTCAACAAAATAAAAATAAACTTTTTCACCTATAGCTAACACCTATAGATAATATCATATGTAAGAGTGAAAGACTGAATGTTTTTTCTTCCTAAAATCAGATACATCCCCTCGGCTTTTACTAATTCTCTTCAACATTGTACTGGAAGTCTTACCAGTGCAAGGAGCTAGTGCAAAGAAAAGCCATTTTTACTCTCAGGTAGTATAATGTTTGCAGAATATCCTAGGAAATCCAAAAAAGCTACTAGCACTAATAAATGAATTTAGCAAGGCCTCATGATACAAGATCAGTATGTTAAAAAGCTCAATTACATTGCTATACACTAACAATCAAGTCCTGGTGTGGCACCATGGGCTAATGCGCTTGGACTGCAAAGTCGGTTAGAACTATAAGGTTGGTATTTCAAGCTCACCAACTGCTCCTCAGAAACTCTATAAAGGGTCGCTATGGGTCAAGTGTGGCAGCGGTAGTGAGGTTGGCCCAGGATCGGACATTGTTTCGTTCTGCTGTGCATGGGGTTGCTATGAGTCAGTTCCGACTCGATGGCACCTTACAACAACAACAACATGGGTTGCTAACGATCCATAGCGACCTTATGCACAGCTGAATGAAACACTGCCCGATCCTGGGCCAGTCTCACTATTGTTGCCATGCTTGAGTCCATCGATGCTGCAACATGGCCAATCCATCTCGTTGGGGTCCCTCCTCTTTTCCTCTGACCCTCCACCTTACCAAACGTGGTATCTTTCTCCAGCGACTGCTCCCTCCTGACAATATGCCCAAAGTATGAGAGACGAAGTTTGGCCATCCTGGCCTCCAAGGTACACTTTGCCTGCACTTCCTCCAAAACGGATCTATTGGTTCTTTTGGCAGCCCATGGCATTTTCAATACTCTCCTCCAACACCATAACTCAAAAGCATCAATTCTTCTACTGTTTTCCTTATTCACTGTCCAGCTTTCGCATCCATGAGGTAATTGAAAATACCAAGGCTTGGGTCAGGCGCACCTTAGTCCTCAAAAGCTGACATCTTTGCTCTTTAACACTTTAAAAAGGTCTTGTGCAGGAGATTTGCTTAATGCAATACGTCATTTGATCTCTTGACTGCTGCTTCAGTGAGTGTTGATAGTTGATCCAAGAAGAATGAAGTCCTTGACAACGTCAATCTTTTCTCTGTTGATAAGAATGTTGTTTTCTTTACATTGAGATGTAATCCATACCGGAGGCTGTGCTCTTTGATCTTCATCAGTAAATGTTTCAAGTCCTCTTCACTTTCAGCAAGCAAGGTTGTATCATCTGCATATTGTAGGTTGTTAATGAGTCTTCCTCCAATCCTGATGCCACGTTTTTCTTCATAGAACCCAGCTTCTCTGATTATTTGCTCAGCATACAGGTTGAATAAGTATGGTGAAAGAATACAACCTTGTCGCAAACCTTTCTTAATTTTAAAACATTCTGTGTTCCCATGTTCTGTTTGAACAACTGCCTCTTGGTCCACGTACAGATTTCTCATGAGCACAATTAAGTGTTCTGGAATACTATACTTTGCAATGGTATCCATAGCTTGTTATGATCCACACTACTGAAAACCTTTGCATAGTCAATAAAGCACAGGTAAACATCTTTCTAGCTCTGGTAGCGTAGTGGTTATGAATTCGGCTGCGAACTGCAAGGTCAGCAGTTCAAAACTACCAGCTGCTCCATGGGAGAAAGATGAGGCTGTCTGCTCCTGTAAAGATTTACAGCCTTGGAAACCCTGTTCAGGGTCGCTATGGGTCGGAACCTACTCGACAGCACTTAACAACAACAAACATCTTTCTGATATTCTCTGCGTTCAGCCAGGATCCATTGGACATCAGCAATGATATCCCCACATTCCACGGCCTCTTCTGAATCCGGCTTGAACCTCTGGAAGTTCTCTGTCAGTGTATGATTGTAGTCATTTCCGTATTACCTTTAGCAAAATTTTACTCGCATAAATGACAACACACTAACGGTAATAATAATGGTAAAACTCCATTTATAATAGAACTGAAAAGACTTAGGAATAAGTTGAACAAAAGATATACAAGGTCAATCCACTGAAAACTACAATGCACTATAAAAGAAAATTGAAGATACTATCCTAAGTCTACCTGGTTGTCCTTTTAAGGAAATTAACACATTTATATTAATGCAAAGTACCTGGTCAAAATAACTTGGAATAAGAACATAGTTGGAAGACTTTCAATACTTGATACCAAACTTACTATACAAGTATAGCAATGAAGACAGTGTGAGTTTTGGTGTAGAGTAGATCAGTGGAAAAGAACTGAGAATCCAGAAATAAGATACTTGAAAAGACAATTGGTTTTTCACAAGGTATCAATGCAAATCGACGGGGAGGGGAGGGAAAGAGTGATGCTGGAATCGTGGTAAAAAATGACTGGTTACTCTCTCCATGCAGCATGCACAAAAACTCAAAATGAGCCAAAGGCACAGAGCTAAATCAATTAAACGTCTAGCTAGAAGAAAATTCTTTGTGACAAGGATTTCTTACACAGGATACACAATGCTAGAACCACAAAAGAAAAAAATTGATAAACGAACTTCACCAACATTAAACGTGTTTGTCTAAAGTTAACAGTTGACAACGCAACTGCACACAAAAAATAAAACACCAACAACGTAAGCTACAGACTGGGAGGAAAATTTGAAAAACATGGGACACAAATTTTGTAACTAGAACATATGAAGAATACTTACAGCTCAATATTACTATGACTAACAACCCAATTAAAAAATTGGCACAAGATTTCAATAGACACTTCATATAAGATACATAAGAAAAGATCACATCACTATTCTTCAGGGAAATGAAAATTAAAATCACAATGAAATAGCAATGCATATTCATTATTTTCAGAGTGGATAAGGTCAAAAGCTACAACAATACCAAGTACTGGTAATGACATGGAAGAACTGGAATTCTTTGCTGGTGGAATGTTACAGCCATTTTAAACAACAATATGGCAGTATCTTATAAAGTTAAACATACATGTAAGAGATAGGAAGAGAAACTTCATTCTTAGGTGTTTACTTAAGATAAAAGAAAACATGAACAAATCAAGATTTTTATGTTAATGTTTATAGCAACATTTATTTATAATAGCCAAAATTTAAAGAGAAAACTTTTACTAGCAGATAAAAAAATTTCAGATATTTGTACTATGATACTTATTCAGCAATTAATATGAGAAAATATTTGGATATAAAATAATATGGATATTCAAAAATAGTATGCTAAGTAAAAAGGGTTTAATTCCATGTCTATGAAATTATAGGAGAAGAAAAACTATAGGTGAGTGATTGCCTATAGCCCAGGTTGAGGCAAGAGGACAGACTATCAAATGGCATGGTGAAACTTTACCGTGATAGAAATTTTATGTAAATTATAACTAAATAAAGCTGAAAAAACACAAATATATGAATAAGAGTACTTACAGGTCTCTCTTATTAAAGCAGACTAACACTCCCAAAAGAGTTATCAATAAGAATGCTAAGCAAACAGGCACAACTATGGCTTCGATTTCTCCTTGAGCTAAAAAACAGAAAGGGGTAAGATGGGAAATAACTGTTAACACAAATGCTAAGGTGAAATAACTTCCCTACCACAAGACTGCTTTAAAGTGTTCATGAGCAAAGATGTCAGTTTGAGGACTAAAGTATGCTTAACACAAGCCATAGTACTTTCAATAGCCTTATATATGCATATGAAAGTTGAGACAACGAATACAGAAAACCGTAAAAGGCATTTGAGTTATGGTGTTGGAGATATTGAAAGTACCATGGACTGCTAGAAAAACAAATCTGTATTAGAAAAAGTAAAGCCAGAATGCTTAGAAGCCAGAAGGGGCAGTCTTTGTCGCTCATACTTTGGACATTTTATCAGGAGGAACCAGTCCCTGGAGAAGGACATCATGCTTGGTAAAATGGAAGGTCAGTAAAAAAAGAGGAAGACCCCCAACGAGATGGACTGGCATAGTGGCAGCAGCAATGGGCCCAACCACAACGGTTGTGAGGATGGTGCAGGACCGGGCAGTATTTAGTTCTGCTGTGTGTAAGGTAGGTAATGTATGAGTTGGAACAACTCTCAACAGCATCTAACAATAAACCTTACCAGATTACTGTAGAAAAGAAATGCCTTTTTTTTTTTTTTTCTTCTTCCCTACCCTTCTTGGTAAATCTCATGAGAATGCCTTACATAGTCCTTGCCCACAGAGTAGGCATACAATCTCTGTTGAGAGAATAGTTAATTCCACTAACAGAAGAAATTACCTACTTGAAAGAGTACAAACCTAACCATTTTTACATTTACAGTAATGTGTTCTTGTTAAGTGCTGTCGAGCTGGTTCCGACTCAGAGACCTTGTATAAGGTTTCCAAGGAACAGCTGGTGTGTCTGAATTGCTAAGCTGCTGGTTAGCAGTGCAGTGCCATGCCAAGACTACAGTGCCATGCCAAGACTCCTCTATAAAGTATACTCAGTGGGACTTAGCAAAAGCATATCTCCTGAATTCGAATGCTCACTAATTGAGAAACTATATTAGAACAAATGAATACCGGGCAAAACTGTAAAACCTTGTTTAAAAAACTTTTATTTTGTTGCCATTGTTGAGAATATTTATACACAGCAAAATCTGTATCAATTCAACAGCTTCCACATGTGTAATTCAGTGACATCCATTATATTCTTTGAGTTGAATGATTTCTGACCCATTTTTTCTAAGGTGTTCCTCCCCTACTAATATAAACTCAGTGTCTCCTATAGCCCTAAAGTCCTATCTAGCTAATCTTTCAAGTTGCTGTTGTCAATTTGATCCCATAGAGAGAGATCTCAAAAGAGCACAATACTCAGGGCAGAATTTACTAGTTAAGTTAAACTACTGTTTCATTTTAGAAAGATTTCAAGGGTTATTTTTGGTTCAAGATCATTCACTTCAGGGATTCATCCAGCCTCCATGGCTCCAGAAAGTCTGGAGTCCATGAATATTTGAAACACTATTTTGTACTTCCCCCTTTTGATCAGGATTCTTCTGTAACTCTGTGGTCAAAACGTTCAGTAATGGTAGTTGGGCACCATTCAGTTCTAGTCTCTTGGGAAACGAGACAGTTAAACATGTAGACAATTCCTCTTATATTTTTGCACCAAGTAAATTCAGCAATTGCCTGGTCTGGTTAATTAAAAAAAAAAGACAAAAGATGAACTTTCATGATTACTTACCAAACTTTGGAGTGGTGAAAGTGAAGTCAGGACCGTACATCCCCCCTTCGTCTGTGTATGCTGCCATTCGTACCATGTATAGTGTGTCACTAGTCAGAGACGACAGAGTGTATTCTGTGTGGGAAGAGTCCACATTCACAGCTGAAAGAAACCAGGAAGCAGGCTTTAGTCAATTACTCAGGGTTTGACATCATCTGGACTCTATTCGGCATTACAAAAGTATTAAAAAAAGGAATGCAAGTATTTTATCAGGGAAAAACTTTCACCTAAGCACAAAGCAATTATTTCTTTAATAAGACCATGAAAGCAACCATCAGGCATAATTGTGGGTGATACTTTTTTTGAAGATAGTACCATGTATTAGAAGCATAACAAAAGGTATGATTCAAACTAATATTTAAAGCTTGAAAAAAAAATCTGATAAGGTTTTATTACCAGTTTCATTTCCAAAGGCAGTTTTATAAATTATAGTATAATTTCTGATAAATCCATTTTGAACATCAACAGGAAGTTGGTCCCATTCTAAAACAGCTTCATTTTTCCCCACTTTTTTTGTACGAACAGTAGGTCCTTTGGAAGGTGCTGTAAAAGAATAAATGTATCAGTAAACTGAAAATAATTAAGACTTTTTATTTCGACTCATAGTGACCCTGCATCAGGTTTCCAAGGAGTGGATGGTGGGTTGAATCTCAGTCCAGTGCTTATCCTACAGCATCACACCAGGATTCCAATTGTTACTGCTGTTGAATTGGTTCAGACTCATAGCAACCCTGCATAGGGTTTCCAACAAGCAGCTGGTGGGTTTGAATTGTCAACCTTGTGGTTAACAGTCCAGTGCTTATCTTATAGCATCATACCAGGATTCCAATTAGAGTTTAGTAAATCATTAAATTTTAGTAAAATGTCATCATCAAATTAATTTAGCATAATAAGACAGTACTTAACACCATGTTGTTGTTGTTAAGTGCTGAAGTATCACTTCTGACTCATAGTGACCCCATATAGGGTTTCTGAAGCCGTAAATCTTTATGAGAGCAGAAAGCCTCATCTTTCTCCTGTGGAGTGACTTGTATATTCGAACTACCAACCTTTTATTACAAAGCAGCTCATAATCAACTACAATACCAGGGATTCTTATATATATGTAAGTGTGTGTGTGTATACTGTTGTTGTTGTTAAGTGCTGTTGAGTGGGTTTTTACTCATAACAACCATGTATAGGGTTTTTGAGGAGCGGCTCCTGGTGTGGAGCTTTAGGATAATAAGCATTGGACTGTAAACCACAAGGGCAATAGTTGAAATCCACCAGATGCTCCTCAGAAACCCTAACACAGGGTCACTATGAGTTGAAACTGATGTGATAGTTAACAACAATTTTAAATATCTTTACAGGAGCAGAAAGCCTCATCTTGCTCCCACGGAGCAGCTGGCTGGTAGGAACTGCGGACCTTGCGGACCTTGTGTTTGTCGTATGGAGCCACCAACTCATACATATACACACATACATACATAAACATATGGAGCTCTGATAGCATAGTGGGTTATGAGTTGGGCTGCTAACTGTAAGGTCAAAAGTTCAAATTTACCAGCTACTCCTTGTGAGAAAAATGAAGCTTTCTGCTCCTGTAAAGATTTACAGTCTCAGAAGCCATATAAGGGGTAGCTATGAGTCAGAACTGATTCCATGGCACATAACCACTATGTACCTATAGATCCACAAATATTTATCTATTTATGGGTATAATCCCGACTCTCCTTCCTATACCTGCTCAGCTTTCATGTCTATTCATACATCTACTTGCTATCATAGGATTATGTATAAAACAGTATTTATCGCCGTTACTTTTAACTCCTCCCAGTGTCTTCCCCCGCCCTCCATCGTTTCCCCCCAACCCCCACCTCCTTTTTATCGTTTACTGCCTACCCTTTAACCATCTAGCTAGTGACTCTCCCTTTACCTCCCACCCCTGGTAACCATCAAAGAATGTTTCTTTTAGTATGAATACCTTTTCTTGGCTTTTTACAAGAATGATCTTTTACAATATTTGTCATTTTATAATTGACAAATTTTACTCAGCAGAATGTCTTCCAGGTTCATCCATGTTATGAGGCATTTCACAAATTCATCATTATTCTTTAATGCTTGGAACTATTTCATTGTATGTACCATTTATTTAACCATTCTTCCACTGATGGGCATTTAGGCTGTCTCCATCTTTTTGCTATTGTGAATAATGCTGCGATGAGTATGGGAGCACATATTATCCACTCATGTCCTGTGCCTCTTATTTCTCTATGGTATGCCAAGTACAGGGATTTAAATCCACCAGCCACTCCCTGGAAACCTATACAGGGTTGCTATGGGACGGAACCAACTCAATAGCACTTATCAACAGCAAATGTCATAAATATCTTTGCTAATACAAAACATTTCTCAAAGAAAGTTTGAACTTACCAGCTTGTTTAAGGTATGCCCTTATGGATTCAGGGGTTCCAGGCCCATCAGCATATACTGGAGTTACTGTTATCAAATAACACGTGCTCTCCATGAGGTTTCCTAGAATCAGAATAGCAAATTTAGTATTTTTTTTTCTAGGAGGAAAGTTATACTCTTTCCATTGCTGTTTTTAGATTATAATTTCATTACAATTTAATGTTTCTTTCTTATAAAATTACAGCTTTCTAAATAAGCATACTTTTTATGTATTAGATTCAAATTCGGTGGAGTGAAACTGTTTATAAACAGGTTATTTTTATTGCTAATACAGTAAATAAAAGAAAATCTATTTGTGCTGCAGGATACGCACTGAACTGTGAGGTTGGTTTGAATCACAAGGTTGGCAGCTCAAACTCAGCAGCAGCTTCTCAGAAACCCTATACATGGTTGCTGAGTCAGACTTGATGGCACTTAACAACAATAATACAGATAATGATTGCATTTTATAATCAGGATTTATATTTATTAAGATGTAAAATACTGATCTCAAATTATCCTGGGCCTCAGAAGATACGTAATTTTTATACATTTCACCTAATTATCAAAAAATTGCTTAATAAGCAAGATACCACTAATGAGACCTAGCACTATTTACCCATAGAAAGAAAAGAGAAGAGAGTAGGGTTTAGCACTAGAAAGCCACCATTTGCTTGTCCATTTGTTATTCTGTGGTAACTTACATGTTGCTATGATATAAGCTAAGCCACACGTTTTTAAACATCAGCTGGGTCACCTATGGCACACCCAGGCTTCAAGAGAACTTCCAGATTCAGACTAGGAAGAAGCACCTGGTAATTTACTTAAGAAAAAACCCCCAAAATTGGTCACTGAAAACCCTGGATGAATAGCAGCGGCACACTGTCTAAAACAGTGCTGTAAGATGAGCTCCTCAGGTTGGAAAGCACTTAAGTTTGGGACAGAGCTGCCTCCACAAAGTAGAGCTGACCTTAATGACGTGGCTGGCAGAAACCTTTCAGGGCCTTTTTTTGCTGATATGGCATGATTCAAAACGAGAATAAACAGATGTAAATATCCACTGGTAACTGGAATTTGGAATGTACAAAGTATGAACCCAAAAAAATGGTAAGTCATCAAAAATGACTTTAAGATCTATATCCTATGCATTGGTGAGCACAACTGGCCTGGTAACTTGGTCATTCTGAATCAAACAATCATACCATCTACTACCTTGTCAAAGAGAACATTTCACAATTGATCCTGAAGTAAATGCTGCCAGTGACAGGTTAAAATCCACATGCCTAAAAGGACCACTTAATAATTCCAAACATGAAGAAAGTGAAGATTTTTACCAAGTTCCAGGGTCTGACATTGATTAGATATGCATTCAAGATGCATTGATAATTACTGGTGAATGGAATGTAAAAGTTGAAAACAAAGAAGGATCGGTTATAGAAAATACAGCTCTGGTAATAGAAACAACACTGAAGAATTTTTCAACACTGACTATTTATAGAAGATACCTTTTTTTCAACATAAATGCCAACTATACAAAAACAAGTGAACCTTGCTGGATGGAATACACAGGAATCAAATAGACATCAGTGGAAAAAATGGAAACACTCAGTATCAACCAGAACAAAGCAAAGGATCTATTGCAGAAGAAACCATCAACTGCTTATATGCAAGTTGAAGAAAATGAATACAAATCCATTAAGTCAAGGTACAACCTTGACTATGTTGTTGTTAAGTAACACTGAGTTGATTCTGACCCAAAGCGACCCTCTATAGGGTTTCCGAGGAGCAGTTGGTGAGCTTGAACTGCCGACCTTGCAGTTCAAATGGCTTTGCAGTCTGCCACATTAACCCACAGTGCCACACCAGGACTCCAAACCCTGATTATATTCCACTTGAATTGGATGCCATCTCAAAAAACAGTTTTAACACATTGAAAACTAATTACTCACACTAGATAAATTGAAAGACGGCATCAAGGGCATCATACACAAAGAAATCAAAAGACCATTAAAAAGACAGGAAATAATTGGGAAAAAATCCCCAAAATGGATGTCAGAAGACACTCAAAATTGCTCTAGAATGTAGAACAGCTAAAGTGAATGGCAGAAATGAAGTAAAAGAGCTGAAAAGAAGATTTCAAAGGGTGGTTCAAGATAAAGTTTTATAATAAAACATGAAAACAACTGATTAGAAAATCAAACACAACATGCTCAACATTTCAGGCTGGAAAAACTGAAGGAAAAATTCAATATTGTGTTTCAATCCTGAAGATTTTATGGGCAAAATAGTAAGTGATGCAGAAAGCATCAAAATAATACACAGAAGAATTGGATGACATCCAATAATTTCAGGTGGCAGTATATAATCAGGAACCAATAATACTAAAGGAAGTGGATCACAATACTGTGGGATAAAGATGAAGTTTCCTAGTCCTGTAAAGATTTACAGCCTCAGAAACCCTACACAGGGTAGCTATGATTTGGAACTGACTCAATGGCACTTAACAACAATGCAGTCTGTATCCATGAAGAGATGGAGCTCAGAGACACTGCGTATGTCTTTCTGAAAGTCACACAACCCATGCAGCAGCTAACAAGGGGGCTATGGTATTTGGGAAATCTTTTCAATGGATCACCGTATCTATAAATCAGAAAAGGATACTGCCCTAACAGTAGATAAATAGTATCACCTTAATGAGTTTTGCTAGATTTACCTTTTAAATAGTTGAGATGTACGGCACTGTCTTCTTGCTGCCAGTCTGGAACACATGGCACTTTATCTGATAGCACACACCATTCAAGTATGTATTTCTTTACAGACGCTTTAGGAGCTGTCCATTTTACCCAAAGCTTGCTATCTTTGGGGAATGCTTTGAGATCCGTTACAGGGTGAGTAGCTTTAAAAAAATGTTTGGATAATGATATAAGCAAACATTCCAAAATCTGAAATAGATATTTTAATCATCTTCGTAACCATGTAATTTATCTTGCTATCAATTCTTATTAAATATATCATCAGCACATATTTCTATGAACGAAAATACTATAATTTACATGTAAGGAGGATAGTTAACTATTCTTATTCTCTCAAAATTCTTCAAATGTTTTGTTAATTACAAACTTTTCTTCGAAAGCTACAAAAAAATACATTTAGGTCATCTGAATATGAAGTTATTGATACCTTTAAATATCTATTTTTTAAAAATTTTCTGACAAGTCATCAGAAAAGTACAAAAAGAAATTAAGTATTTACTTCAAGATTTAAGTGAGCTACCTAGTGATGAAGCAGGTTATTTGGCTGCTAAGTGATGCTGAAACTATGATATCTCAAATGCTGAGGAAAGTCTTAAACAACTGTTTTTCCCCATTCATGCGTAACTACCCTCTTCCACCATTAGCAGACTCTTACAGACACAAACCTTTGAAGTCACAGGCAGGAATAGTTAAATTAGATACATCTGATCTGCCAACCAGATTTCTTGCTGTCAGAGTTGCTATATAGCGATCATTTGTGAGGTTTACTATCAGCTTTGTGTCATTAACTCTGTAATTCTGAAAGTGAGATTTCCATCTTGTAAGAGTCACTTCATAATCCAAGATTTTTCCATTGGCTTCAAAAGGAGGTAATGTCTGTAATAAAATAGCTTATTTTAAAAAATGTATTTTATATATTTTGAATAAAATTAATCCATTTTAGTTTATTTTCATCACTAATTGTGATAAATCTCGCTAAGTGTTTAATAGGAAGGGACTGGCAACCTCATTTTGAAATGGACACTAAAGTAAAAGTACTACATTCTGAATAAAAAGTCAAAAGCATGACTTCAGTGAGGCGATGAAATATCATTCTGCTGGCTTTTAGTTCTTCTTTGCTCCAAATAATTCTCCAATGTGGTTATTTGGGCCTAAATTATTTTATAATTGATTTTTTCTAACATCTTAGCATAATCTCCTCATAAAATATTCATAAAGTATTCATCAATTTTACATTTCCTATTAGCAGCATACAATTAGTTGTTCTTTATGTCTAAAAGACTGATTACCCCAAATTTCTCTTCTATGAGGCACTGGTAGCATAGTGATTATGAGTTGGGCTACTAACCCAAGGTCAGCAGTTTGAAACTACCAGCCATTCTTCAGGAGAAAGATGAGGCTTTCTGCTCCCATAAAGATTTACAGCCTTGGAAACCCTATACAGGTCCCATAAAGATCTGTAGCCTTGGAAACCCTATACAGGTTGGCTTTGAGTCAGAACCAACTTCGCAGAACATAACCACCATCACCACCATGACGCACTCTAGAAAATTCAAACACAAAAAGTGTTGTTGTTGTTAAGTGCTGTTGAGTCAGTTCTGACTCACAGTAACCTTAAATAGGGTTTCAAGGAGTGGCTACTGGGTTTGAACTACCAACCTTGCAGTTAGAAGAACATCCTATAGCACCACACCAGGACTCCAAGATAAAAAACATACTTATGACTTTACACTTTTTGAGAACTGTGCTAAAATACCTAAGAGGCAGTATGAACATGATTTCTATATGTTGTTGTTAAGTGATATTGACTTGGTTCTGACTCATAGCAACCCTGTATAGGGTTCCTGAGGCTTTAAAACTCTGAAGGAGAAGAAAAAGCCTCATCCTTCTCCCTAGGAATGGCTGGTTTCCTGTGGTTCTAAGTTCAGTACTTATTGCATTAAACACAGTTAACAAGAACTTTGCTGATAAATATATATATAAACACTTTAATCATAATAACATATAAAATGAATTGTTGTTGTGTTCCGACTCACAGCGACCCTATATAGTGTTTCCAAGGAGTGGGTGGTGGCTTTGAAATGCCAACTTTGTGGTTAGTAATCCAGTAAAGAGCTCTGGTAGTGTGGTGGTTACGAATCGGGCTGCTAATCTCATGGTCAGCAGTTCAAAACTACCAGCTGTTCCGTGGGAGAAAGATGAGGCTTTCTGCTCCCATAAAGATTTATAGCCTTGGAAACCCTGAACAGGGTCGCTATGAGTCGGAACTGACTCCACGGCACACAACAACAACAACAGCTTATCCTACAGAGCTACTCCAAAAATGAAGTACATGAGATAAAATAGAAACATGTAATTTTTTTTTTACCTTCCACATGAGTTTTACATGTCTATAGCCATGTGTATGCAATGGATCTATCTTATACCAGAAACTTGGTTCCTTGGATGGTCCTATAAAAAAGAGACACATACTTTTTAAAATAAAAAAATTTTAAACATTAAAATAAAATCCTATAGGTTATTCTTTTATTTTGTTTTTAATAGTCTTGCTGTCAACTGCAGTGGTTAGGTAACTTCCCAAGCTTACAAGAAAGGAAATAACGAAGAGCAGAGCAGTAATAAATAAAACAGAAAAGTAGAAAGAATCATTGAGTCTAGAAGTTGGTTCTTCGAAAGGATCAATAAAATTGACAAGACACTGGACAAAATGACAAAGGAAAAAATGAGAATATGCAAATAATCAAATTAAGAAATGTGATGGGTGACATAACACCAGAACCAACTGAGATAAACAGGACCATAACAGATGATGAAAAAGTACATTTGAAAACCTAAGAGAAACGGGCAAATTTCTAGAAACACACTACCTAAACTAACATACATACGCAGAGGCAGAAAACTTAAAATAGAGCCACAAGAAAAGAAGAAATTAAATGTCTTTAAAAAACACCCAATAAAAATGCTCTGGGAAAGATGGTTTCATTGTAGAATTCTACCAAGCATTCAGAAAAGAGCTGCAACTCAAATTAATCCAGAACAAAGAAAAGGAATGAGGAGAACAAACAAGATGGTGGACTGGGTAGAAGTGCAGTGAGGCGCTCTGCCAGCAACAACACAGAATACTGGACCACACAGGCTCAGGGGATGGTCCCAGAACTCTGAACCACATATAAAGGAATATTTAAAGCCAAGAACAGAATAAATTTATAAGAACAGAGGATCTGGGAGGTCAGTCTACGATCAAAACAATTACAATGTTAAAGGTAAACATAGAGAAACAGAGATCCAGGTGGTGGGAAGGTCAGGCAGATTACTGGATAAAATGTTGTTTGTTGTGTTGTTGTTAAGTGCCGTCGAGTCGGTTCCGACCCATAGCGACCCTGTACAGGGTTTCCGAGGGGGTAGCGTAGTGGTTACGAATCAGGCTGTGAACCGCAAGGTCAGCAGTTCGAAACTACCAGCGGTTCCACGGGAGAAAGAGGAGACGTTCTGCTTCCGTAAAGATTTACAGCCTCGGAAACCCTGTGCAGGGTCGCTATGAATCGGAACCGACTCCACGGCACTTAACAACAACAACTAATTGATATAGACTGTCTTAAATGGAGGGAAGAACTAATGGAATATAGTAAGGTAACCACAATGGGGTTGGGGTGGGGGGGTTTACTTTGGGTGTTGGGGAGGGCAATCCAAGAAGGGGGGAGGAGGCAAGAACAAGATAGATAGGGGAACACTGAGACAGGTTTGCATGGCCTAGTGGGACAGAGGTAAATAGTGATGCATACTCAACTGTGGAACAACAGGGCTCTGGGATACAGGGATCTAGGTATAGCCTGAAGAGGATAAATAATACTAAAATCCTTGACTGCCTTATGAATATTAGTTTCCCTTGCCTACTATTGTAAAATAGACACTTGAGTGGGATAGAAAGGAATGTTGGGAACATGATTAGAGAAAATTCGTAAGCCCGCCTTCAGCCTGTAACTGATTGGAATACCTAAAAGGGGTTCTACAACTTGCCCAGCGAAATAGGCATCAAGCAAAGCTTTTACAGAGTATAGGACCTTAGGTGGAATCCTGAGTCCCATCTAGATTATGAGGTGAGACATTCCCACTAGAAAGGACAAGCAGACTGGAACAGCTACAGTGACAGAAGATACATCTTCTTCATGATGAACCTGACCTATACTCAGAGCGGCAGTTACTTACTCTAAATACCAACAGAGAGGGAAAGAGTCTTCACATCAAGTATCAATGCTATCTCCTCTGAGCACAGGGTAGATAGGGACGGGCAAATTAGACATTGGATACCTAAAATGTGGGGGCAATAAAGGCACGAAGTGACTGGTTTACAAGGTTTCAAGGGGGAGTTCAGTTTAAGAGTATGGGGGAAAGAAAGAGTCCCCAATGAATAGCTGTCATCTTGTCTATATGGGTCTGGTGAAAAGAGATGGGGATAAGATTCATAAGGCTCAATAGTGAATAATTTTTATCATGACTAATCACGACTGTCACAATTGTAAAGGTAGAAGTTTTGAAACAAAAAAAGGGAGTGGTTAATCTTACAGACCAGAAACAGAGGACTCTAGGAACATCAAGAGAGGAACGCACAAATCGAATACGGGACCTTATCCAGAGAAGCAGCAGTGTCAGAGATGGAGGTAGAGATGGGGAGCGGCTGAGGACTCTAGATTCATGGACTAAGAAGAGAAGGACTAAGAGCTGGTGGCCAGGAGCAGACTTGCAGAATGTGCCCTTTGGAGATGTAAATTATTATATATGCCTGAGTGGGTTTTTTTGTTGTTTGTTTTTTAAAAAAGCTAAAGTGGATAGAGAAAAATACTGTTAACTGATGGTACATGGAGGGGATTATAATCAATGTAATGAAACAAGGCATATGATTTGTTGAATGTAAAACTGATGATATGCCCTGTAAACTTTCACTCAATCCACAATAAAAACCTTAAAAAAAAAAAAAAACTAATGGGGAAAAAAAAGAAAAGGAATGATATTCCTGAATTTATTCCATGAAGTCATCATGATCTTGATAACTCATAGCTTAAAAAGAAAATTACGAACTAAATCCCTCATGAATACAGATGTAATTCACAATAAAATCTTGGCAAAAAAAACTATAGCCAACAGAATATTAAAAAAAATAAATAAATAACATGGTATTCATACCACCCAAGGACATATTCAACATTAGGAAATCAATCGATGTAGTTTCAGCACACAAATAAAACAAAGCAAATGAATAACATGAGCATCTTTCCTGATAAAAACGCTCAGCCAAAAGGGAATACAAGGGAATTTTCTCAACACAACTACAGGAATAAAACCAGCATCCAGCATTATTTGCAGTGGAGACAGACTGAAAAAGAAAAGGAATGAGACAAAGTTGCCCATGATCACCACAGTTATTCAGTATTGTATTGGAAGTAGCCAGAGCAACAAGACAAGACAGGGAAACAAAGGGCATCCAGATTGGTAAGGAAGAAGAAAAGTGATTTCTATTTACAGATGACATGACCCTATATATAGAAAATTCCAGAGAATCCGCAAATAAGTTACTGGAACAAATAGAAAAGTTCAGCAAAGGGGTTGTTGTTGTTGTTAAGTGCCATTGAGTCGGTTCCGACCCATAGCGACCCTGTACAAGGTTTCTGAGGCTGTAACTCTTTACGGGAGCAGAATGCCTCATGTTTCTCCTGCGGAGCGGCTGATAGTTTCAAACTGCCGGCCTTAAGGTTCACAGCCCGATTCATAACCACTACGCTACCAGAGCAAAGGGGTAGCATACAATATTACCATACAAAAATCTGTAGGATTCCTTTGCACAAACAGGAAATCAAGAGAAAACCATTTACACCCCAAATGTATAAAATACCTCGTAATCAATGTAACCAGGACCATAAAAGACTTGTCTGAGGAAAACTACAATACAATACCTACAAGAAACCAAACGAGACCTACATAAAACATACCATGCTCATGGATTGGATGACTAAACATTATGAAAATGTCAAAACTACCCAATGGTATCTATAGATCTCAAAAATGTTCTTTAATGAATTGGAAAACTATTCTCCAATTTTATTTGGAAATGAAAGAGGCCTCAAATAGCTGAAGCAACATTGAAGAAGAAACACTAAGTAAGAAGCCTTACACTTCCTGATCTCATGGCAATCAAAAAAGCCTGGTACTTGCTCAATGATGGATAGATACATTGACCAGTGGAAAAGAAGTGAGATCCCAGAAGTAAATCTATCCATGTATGGTCAACTGATCTTTGACAAAGGATCAAAGTCCACTCAATGCAGACAAGAAAGTTTCTTACAAATGGTGCTGGCAAAAACTAGACATCCATTTGCAGAAAAATGACACAGGATCCATATACAAAAAATAACTCAAAATGGATCAAAGATCTAAACATTAAATATAAAATTATACAGTTCCCAGGGACAAATCTATAGATCTGAATCCATCAAACATAACTAAAAATATACAAAGAAAGATAAACTAGAAACATGGGACTTCCTAAAAACAACAACAACCACCATGGCAAACAACAAATGCTGATGAGGTTATGGGGAGACTGCAATTTTTATAAACTGATGGTAGAATTTGTACAACCATGGGAAACAGTATGGCAATTCCTCAAAAAGCTGGAGATAGAAATTCCATATGCTCCAGAAATCCTATTCCTATGTATATATCCAAGAGATCTATGAACAGTAACTAGAAGACATGCACATCCATGTTCACTGCAGCATTATTCACAACAGCAAAAAGAAATCATCTAATTGTCTATCAGATAACTAAATAGACAAATTGTGGTACGTACACAGAGTGGAATACTGAATAACAAAAAAGAATGAGGAATCTGGGAAACATTTTATAGCATAAATAAAGATTATGCTGTGTGAACTCAGTCAATCATGAAAGGACAAGTATGAAAGGTAAATGAAGACAATGAATATAGAACACCAACAGCACACATGCTGCTACATATACAATTCTGCAACAACAGTATTAGTAACCAAAAATGTGTGACTTAGTTACAGAAGTAGATATGTATACAATACAGATGTTGATACCATATGGAAGCATCCATGTGCATATACAGGTACAGTTATGGGCACCTGCATATACATATTGCAATGTGCTGCAATACAAAAGTACTTTAAAAAGCTTGTAGAAATATGGAATTAAATAACAGATTTTTTCCATGAACTTTTGAAGCCCTCTCATACATTCATTTACAATATAGAGCACATAGGGGACCCAGTTATGGACTTATCTAACTAGCTGGCAGAACTGAGTTACTAGACTTGGGGGACATCTAGGTCAATTGTCAGTTCTACATCTTAGGTAAGTAGCATCTGGGGTTCTACTGGCCATCTAAAGAACTTTGGGTATCTTTCTATCTGGAGCAAAGGCAAGTGAAGGAACTGGAAGATTCAAGGAAGGAATCAGTCCACAGGCGCAATGGCCCACAGAAACCACAGCCTCCTCTATCCTATGATCAGATGACTTAGATGGTACCTGGCTACCACAATTACTGACTTCTCAGACTAGGGACATAACCATTGAGTTAGTCCGACTCGTAGCGATCCTGTATAGGGTTTCAAAGGAGCAACTGGTGAGTTTGAACAGTCAACCTTCAGGTTCAAACCACCCTGTGATCCAGTGCTTCATCCTACAAAGTCACACCAGGATTCCCAGGGGCATAATAGGAGGGCCTGATTAGAAAGGGATAAAAACATAAAATAAAATTCAAAGTCATAACCAAGACCAGAGTCACTGGACTTACAGAGACTAGAGGAACCTCCCAAACTGTCCTAAAATGCCCTTTTAATCTGGGTTTGAAACCACTTCTTCAGGAGGTCACTTTCAGCCAAATAATAGATTGGTCTATAAAATAAACAATAATACCCACAGGAATGTGCTCTTAAGACAGTCAACTACATGAGGCCAAATGGGCAAGATTTTCCCAGAAGCAAAGATGCAACGGCAAGGAGAGCCTGGGAAACTGGAGAGATGGAAACAGGAAAGGCAGGGAAATGGGAAGAATGCTAACACATTGTGGGGATAGCAAGCAATGTCATGGAACAAACTGTATATATTGTTGAGAGGAAAACATACTTGCTGTGTAAACTTTTACCTAAAACACAATAAAATGTTCAACAATGAAAAAGAACAATGGAATGGAAATAAGAACCATAGGAAGTGAGGTAATTCTTGTTACATGGAGGTGATTGCAATCAATGTAAGGAAAAAAAGTGTATGAGTTGTTGAATATATAACATTGATGATCTTCTCTGTAAAGCTCAGTCAATTCACAAGACAGTTTTTCAAAAAATAAGATGGCAGGAGTATGTGAAAATGTACCACTTATTACAATTAAATGCAAATAGATGATCGATTCATTGTACAATCAACTCATGAGTTAATCATATACTGCAGTTATTGAAATATTAAAGTCAAACAAGTAATTCAGAGCTAGAATTCCAACACCTTTATTTCTACATATACTTAATTTACACTTACTTGCTTCGTAAGTGGTCCCACTTGCTTCTTCACTCCAGTCACTCCAGAATCCCCTACCGTCTCCCTTCATACAACGAATCCTAAATACATATTCTGTAAAGGGTTTAAGGTACTGGACAGTGAATGAAGATCTGCTGGATGATGTATCTTCTTGAGGAATCTGAACCAAAGGAAATAAATGAACAACAATATCAGCATTTTATAAGGTGTATAAAACAGAAATCTATTTAATGTAACAAGACTAATAAATTAATATAATGCTTTGGAAAGAAATAAATGTAAATCAAAAAACAGTGAGTGAAAAAACAAGTCAGTAAAGTTACTAGGTTTGGAAAGGATCTATACTTTTCTCTTCTATGGAGTCTATCACCCTCAGGACCCAGGAAAAAAAAAAGGTATGCTGCAATTAGAATAAATTCAAGTAAAGGGTCTATGGGCAAAGTATCGGAAAGTTTCCTCAGAAAGGGCAGTCAGTACTCGAGGGCTTTAACAGTAGGGAACTATTATCACCCTAGTCTCTAAAGGATGAGGAAGTACCAGAGCTGCAAAAGAAGTCAGCTGAGAGGCACAGATAATTCCAGGGAGAGAGAAGGGAAAATAAAAACACTGATCTTCCTCTCATCTATTCCTCCTCTATCCTGTTAGGGCTTCACCTCTCATTTGCCAAACTTCACAAGGAAGTTAGAAGGAACAGAAATCCACTGATGGAATCCATACAGTATCCCAAGACAAAGAGTGGGGTGGAGAACGGTGGGATACAGAACTGAACAGGCAAAACACAAAAGGAGGTATTCAGTCCTATCTTCCTTTGGTTCTTTCTCTGACTCTGAGATTTCAATATTGGGTACAATATAGATGTCAGTCTTTTTTTTTTTTTTTTAACCACTAAATTAAGATTCTTGATATTAAAAAATATTTAAGAACCTCAGGTATGTATCCACTTGGTACAATATCATTAATTCAATTTTATTTGTGTTGCTTTTTAAAATTACATTTTGAGCCCTTTAAAAAAGTGGGTAGAAGACACAAATAGTAAATTATTTCTTAATGAGCTAGTTAGTGTAAGCAGAGAAACAAAAACATAAGCATATGTACAAATGGAAGCATAACAAAGAATAGTATGGGCAACTGAATGCTCTAGTAGCAGTCTTCTGAAGGCTCTAAACATTTCTTCTCATGACAGCATCAAGACTGGGTGGTGATGCTGAGTGCCATCAAGTTGATTCCCACTCCTATTGTTTGTATACCTAGAGAACAGAGCAGAACTGCCCCATAGCATTTTCTGATGTGGCACTATAGGACAAACACTGCACTGGTAACCACAAGGTTGGCAGTTCAAACCTACCAGCCACTCTTCAGAAACCCCATGCAGGGTCATGGTGAGTCGGAACCAACTACACGGCAAACAACAACATTCTTTACGGGACCAGATCACCAGATCTTTCCTCCCACAGAGCTGCTGTTGGGTTTGAAATCACCAACCTTTTGGTTAGCAACTGAGGGCATGCACACATTGTGCCACCAAGACTCTATCTGTAAAGGGTTAGCTAGGCAGTAAATATTTCTTAAGTTCTGTGGCCCAGATGGTCTCTGTTGCAACTAACTACACCTGCTCTTCACATCGACATGGTTAGGGTCCAAGGACCAGGTTGTTTAGTGAAAACCAGGATGTTATGCAAAAATGGAGGATGACCATATCAGATCACAAAATGGATGATGACATCATTACATAATTGCCTAATGATATCATAACATAACTAAGAATCATGGTCCAGTCAAATTGATACATAACATTAACCATCACAACCAGTGTTACTTTCACTTAGCACCTTGGCGTTCATTACTGCCAAGCATGTGCCGTTAATGAGCAAAATAATCAGATTTTTTTTACTATTGCAGTAAATGCACAACATTGGATAACAAGATATGTGAGGAATGGGTATATTCAACTATGCCATTGTTGTTGTTATGTGCCCTGGAGTCGGTTTCGACTCATAGCGACCATCTACAGGGTTTCCGAGGATATAAATCTTTACGAGAGCAGAAAGCCTCATCTTGCTCCCAAGGAACAGCTGTTAGTTTCGAACTGCTGACCTTGCGGTTAGCAGCCTGATTTGTAACCACTACGCTACCAGAGCAAGGAAAAAAAGCCATAGAAAATACATTAATGAATGTGGCTGCTTTCCAATAAAATTTTATTTACAAAAAACAAGACTGAGCTGGATTTGGACCATGAGTCTTTACTAACTCCTCTGGTAGCATAGTGGTTACGAATCGGACTGTGAACCACAAGGTCAGTAGTTCAAACCTACCACAGCTGTTCCGCAGGTGATGAGGCTTTCTGCTCCCATAAAGATTTACAGCCTCGGAAACCTTGTACAGGGTCGCTATGAGTCGGAACCAACTCCACAGCACATAACCATCAACCACTCTACTTTATTCATATCACTTTATTTTTTTTTACCTTTACATAACTGACTTTTTTACTTGTATTCCTTACATCTTTGATCAAAGATGATATTCCCTGTCCCTCTACATGGAGTCCTGGTGTGGTGCTGTGGTTAATGCGCCAGACTGCAAAGCCATTTGAACTGCAAGGTTGGCGGTTCAAACTCACCAGATGCTCCTTGGAAACCCTATACAGGGTTGCCATGGGTTGGAATCCACTCAACGGCACTTAACAACAACAATCCCCCTACATGGAGTCCTAGTGTGGTGATGTAGGATAAGCACTATACTGTAAGGTGGGTTAAGGTGGGTTTGAACTTTAAGGTTGATGGTTCAAACTCACCAACTGCTCCTCAGAAACCCTAAACAGAGTGGCTGTGAATGGGAACTGATTTGACGACACTTAACAATAACAACATCATCACCCTACAAACTTTCATATTTCACCTCAAGGTGCCTAAATATGGAAAGGCTGTGTTTTCTATCTGGATTTCTTCCTGTTTGATTTGTTTGAAGTAAAGATCCGGAAGAAGTGTCAAGCATAGTACCTCATGTAACCAGAAACTTAAAACATTCAGAAAATGAAACTATTTAGGTTAAATTGTCTATAAGAAAGATTACTGAAATAAACAACTTTCAATTTACCTGGCTCCATGTTGATGCATCCTTGGTCCTATATTGAATGTTGTATTTCAGACTCATAAAACTTTCAATATTTGGGTTGATCCACGTCAATTTTAAGATACTAGACAGTTCCTCTGAGTATCTGATTGATAAATTACGTGGTGGATTGGGCTTCACTGAAGAAAATAAATCTTAATGTTACCATGTTTTACTTTTAAAACTTCATGTATAAACTAAAATACACTGTTTCTTTACTTCACAATATTCATGTAGTTTTACCAAAATTACTAATTACTCTGAAAATAATGCTATGTCATACTATTATAATGGAAAGGAAGCTTTCTAAAGAAACTTTAGTTTCCTTGTCAGTTCACTTCATTTATTAATCTTTTCATGTCAGGATATGAAAAGACAATTAAATGATTAAATCTAATCAAAGGGTCTTTGATTAGAGAAATGAGCAGAAACACTGGTGTCCCTCTAGAAAGTCAATAAGCAAATGCCTTGGCATTTCTCTTCAATTAGGACATGGACAAGATTGTTTCCTTGAAAATTAATATGGATGGACTATCACTGTCAGCTCTATTTTCAGCACCATCTTGTCCTTTTTTAAAATGAATATCATTTATAAACTGATTTCTCTGAGACCTTGTCCCCATGAACTTCTTGTAAAGCATTAATGGTTTCACCATTCCACCAAAGCTTTACCATAAATTTGATGTGTTCTTGCTTCAATTTTAGCAGACGTCATGTTGCTCTATTACGGTTCTTTCAAATTTATGTCTTATCCTTAATGTCTCAAACAAGGTTCTGTTCAGATTGTTATAACGTGAGTACAAGTTTCTTTGATGAAAAAAAAAAAAACACCTGAAATCCATTTCTTTTTCATAATACGTAATGTCTTGGAATTTTTGAAGATCCCTCATATAAAATTAAAAAAAACAACAATAGACAATGATTGAGAATTGTGCAAATAATACATTCTAAATGAAAACAACTGTAAGGGTAGAATTATGGATATTTTTCTTTTCTCAGATTTTTTAAACATTATTGATAAAATGGCTTTGTAAATAAGATAAATGGTTTCTACATTAATTAAAATCTGAAAACTATTTTAGATTATAAGCCAATGCATAATCTGAAGAAAATAAATTACTTAAATTCAGGTTTATATTACCTTTATCTATAGGATCAAAATTGATATGATCTGATGTAATCTTCCCAAGGGCATTCTTTGCTTCTACCCAGACTTCAATGTTGACGAAATATATAGGAGAATTATCAAGAGTACATGAGTTTGGAATGTCATGCTTTGCTTTACAATCAGCAAACTTCTCTGTTGCCCTAAATACAAAGTTAGAAGACTCAGTCAATAAAAACAGATTTTTAATAATTAGCATTAAAAAGGTTATACTTTTTTTTTTAACTAAAAAAGTTAAAAGATCCAGATTGGTACACAAAGTTTGAAATGAATTGCTCATTACTAAAAAGGAGTCCTGGTGTGGCGCTTTGGGTTAATGTGCCAGACTGTAAAGCCATTTGAACTGCGAGGTCAGCAGTTCAAGCTCACCAGCTACTCCTTGGAAACCCTATACAGGGTTGCTATGGGTCAGAATTGACTTGATGGCACTTAACAACAACAAAAGCAAGTACAACTGCTTATAAATTAATCTTTCTTTAAAACTGAGTTTGACATATATCTTAAGATGCAAAATTATTTTCAAATTTTAAATTTACATTTCAGAATTTCTATCCTTCCTCTCCTCTCCAATCATTATTTTTATCTATTACCTTAGACTTCTGGCGTGGCGCTAATAAAGGCAAGGTTGGCAGTTCAAACCTACCAGCTGCTCCTTGGAAACCCTACTCAGGGTTGCTATGAGTTGAAACTGACTCAACGGCACTTAACAACAACATCCTCCCTCTCCTCGCTAATCAGGATTTTGATCTATTACCATGAGTTCACAGGACTGTTTTTTCCCCCCCTTTCCTGAAATGGAATTCTTACTATATAAAAAATATCTTTCTGTAAGCAATATACATGTTTTCTAAGCATAATATGCTAGGAGTGGCAGGAGGGTAGGGATAAGAAATAGAAAATTTGCTTAGTTTCTTTCTAGTTATCCCCAGAGTGCACTCAGCCAACCTTATTCTGAACATAAAAGCTTTACTCACTGTGTATGAATTATACCTCAAAATACTTTTTAAAATAGAAGGATTGACACAAATGAGCCTTGTGGTGGAAGAGGGAGAAAGTCAATCTTAAAAGCAGATACTGGTCTACTATGGGATGAAAACAAATTAACTATTTGTTGGCATTATTGGGAGCCAGAGTTTTGAGTTAGGCAAAAGGAGATGTAATGAAAACAGAGACAATTAGCTAAAAATGTGCAGTTCTGACTTCAAATTGCAAGTATCAGCATGAGTTCATGTTTAAAAGACAAATACTTGCTAGCTCTTTCAACTGAAAAAGCCTAGAACCAATAACAATCCTACAGCAATGAGTTCTCTAGCTCCCAGAATATGGTCCGTTACTTTATACTAAACGAACAGGGCTCTTTGAAAAGTGGTTGATCCCAGGTCTGGAGAAGGAAATGTAAAAGATGAACCTGGAATATCATGTCATACAAGAAATCAAGAAAGCTATCAAAGTCTAATGAAGTTGTGTCAAAAGGATACAACAACCAACTTCTAGTCAAAGATGGAATAACTTAATATAGCTATTAACTATAATTCATTGAAACATAAATATACTGAAATATAAACTCATAATGAGAGTAAAACCTCTTGTCATTCACCTTTGGGGGATGCTAAGGAACCAACTCATTATAAAACTGGTTAACATAGGGAAATATTGATATTATTTGGCCTTATTGGTACCTCAGAGTAACTAATAATAAAGGGAAGTATTCCTTAAGTATTTTCAGATAAAACAGAAGAAATGACAAAACACCACCATTTTTAAACTCATAAATAATAAGCTCTGGTAGCATAATAGTTATGAATCGGGCTGTGAACCTTAAGGTCAGCGGTTCGAAACTACCAGCCGCTCCACGGGAGAAAGATGAGGCTTTCTACTCCCGTAAGGATTTACACCCTCGGAAACCCTGTACAGGGTCGCTATGGGTCGGAACCGACTTGATGGCACTTAACAACAACAACATGGTTATTCAAATTCTTAGGTAAAAAAACAGCATGATTAAATGTCAGAAATATTCTGCTGAGTCACGAACACCTTTCACAGAAGGTATGCAAGTACGATTCCATTTGTATGTTATTTCAGAACATAGAAAAATAATTTATGGTAAGGACAAAACCTCATGGGAGTGGAATGGTGGCAGGGAACACTTGGGAAAAGACATGAGGGAACTTTCTGGGGAAGTTAGCTATGAGTTGGAACCTACTCAACAACACTTGACAACAATGATAATGAATACTGAATTATTTAGGGATTTAGTATACTACCATCAAAAATTTACTTTGAAATTCAGCATAAAAAAATGATAGATGGCAAGGAGGCTCACAGGTAAATTTATGTATGATAAAACAATTGTAGTAAAATGTTAATTGTAGAATTCAAGTAATGGACAGATTTCTGGTGTGGCACTACAGAATTAGTATTGGACTGTGAACCACAAGGTTAACAGTTTAAACTCACTAGTTGCTCTGTAGAAACCTTATACAGGGTCACTGTGAGTCGGAACTGACTTGATGGTACTCAACAACAAAACAACAACTTCTTATACAGATAGATAGGAGGGATAACAATCCAAGTGAGGGACACACAACAGACCCGTCAACCACTGAGACCACAGGGGTAGTATTTACACAAGGACAAAGTACAGAAAGGTTGGGAAAAATGAGGAATGGGAACAAGATACAGAGAGGAAATAGGATACATGGTTATTAAATCAAGGAGATTATAATTATTGAGATTAAACTAAGTGTACAGCTTGTTGAATGTAAAATTGATGATATGTTCTGTAAACCTTTACTCAATGCACAATAAAAATTTTTTGAAAAATCTGGTATGGGGTACATATGTGATAAGACTGGTAAGAGCAGATAATTATTGAAACTGGATGATGGATAGATGGGAATATTCTTCCTACTTGTAAGTTTGGGATGCTTTAAAATGTTAAAAATTTACATTTAATATTACTACTTAATAGAATACAGTTGCAGCAGTATATCCACAGAGAACTACCAGAAATTCAAGCCGGATTCAGAAGAGGACATGGAACGAGGATTACCACTGTTGACATCAGACGGATCTTGGCTGAAAACAGAGAATACCAGAAAGATATTTATTTGTGTTTTATTGACTATGCAAAGGCTTTCAACTGTGTGGATCATAAACTATGGTATGGGGTACATAGGAGATAAGACTGGCAAGAAAAACATTGCAAAGAATAGGAATTCTAGAAATCTTAATTGTGCACATGAGGAATTGTACATAGACCAAGAGGCAGTCATCTGAATAGAACAAGGGGACACTGAATGGTTTAAAATCAGCAGAAGTGTGTGGCAGGGTTGTATTCATTCACCATACGTGTACAATCTGTATGCTGAACAAATAATCCAAGAAACTATACTATATAAACAAGAAGAGGACATCAGGATTGGAAGAAGGCTCATCAACAGCCTATGACACACATATGACAAAACCTGGCTTGCTGAGAGCAAAGAGGATTTGCAGATGAAAATCAAAGAGCACAGCCCTCAGCACAGAATACAACTCAATGCAAAGACAATGAAAATCCTTACACAGAGGCTAATAAACAACATGAAAAATGGAGAAAAGATTGAAATTGTCATGGCTTTCATTTTACCTGTATATACAATCAATGCTCAAAAAAAAGAGAATCAAATGAAATATTGCACTTTGCAAATGTGCTGCAAAAGATCTCTTTAAAGTATTACAGAGCAAAGATGTCACTTTAAGGACTAAGGTGTACCCGACCCAAGTCATGGTGTTTTCAGACACCTCTTATGTATGTGAAAGCTGGACAATAAAGAAGGAAGACTGGAGAATAATTGATACCTTTGAACTACATTACTGGTGAATACTGAAAGTACCATGGACTGCTAGAAGAATGAACAAATATGTCTTAAAGGAAATATCCCAGAATGCAAGAGTGTTGAGACTTTGTCTCATTTACTTTGAGACTTTATCTCATTTACTTTGGATGTTTTTTGAAGAAGCTGTCCCTGGAAAAGGATATCATGCTCAGTAAAGTAGAGGGTCAACAAAAAAAGAGGAAGCCCCTCAACAAGATGTACTGATGCAGTGGCTGCAACAATGGGGCTCAAATATTAACAAGTGTGAGGATGGTGTAGGACCTGGTAGTGTTTCATTCTGTTGTGTATAGGGTCACTATGAATTGGAGACAATTTGATAGCATCTCACATCAATAACTTGAAAGAATAAAATCCTCAACAAATTATTAATACAACCAAAATACAGTAAACTTAAAATAACCTACCATTCAGATTTTAAAGTATAGGTTGTTTCCAGAAAGGTGTACCTTCCAGGATCCCAAGTACACATCATATTTTTTTCCTCAATGACAATACAATCCAAATTTTTAGGCTTTTCTGGAGGCACTAAGAAAAGTAAGTAGCAGTAAAAAACAACAGTTTTATATCCACACAAGACATTTAACCTAAAATTAGATTAAAAAAATGCAAACCCAAGCAAAATGAAATGAAATACTGGTTACTAATAAGTTATTTTCTATTTAAATGCAAACTTATTTTTAGATAGTAATATACATTTTGCGTCATAATGGTATAATGATCATTTACTAGTTTATTTCAAGTTAATTTTCTAGAAAAAACACACCTTTATTTATAACTACTGACGGTATCAACTAGCTTGATTATGCTTACTCTAAAAAACATTTACCTATGCCACCAAGTAAAAGCAAAAATGACTGTTTATAACTCTCATCTTTATACTGTTTCCCAAACAATGTTGAAGGAAAAACAATGTCAAAATTGATCATCTATCTGGATTATAAGAAGTTTACTAGATTGACTCTGAAGGGTGTTCTATAGTATTGATTCACCTTCACTTAGCTGTGTCATTTCTCAGTCATGAAGAATATACTGAAAGTTATGATGAATACAGTCAAAGATTTCAACTTAATACTTTCTTGGGGGGGCCTCACATATGGAATATTGTTCTAGAAATTGACAAGATGCTTGAATTTCAAAGATAAAAAGCTTCATGCTACTTTCTAGATTTTGGTATATTAATAATGCAAATGTAGTTTCTAATTCTGAGATTTTTCTCATTTTTTAATGAATGTATCCTAAAGTCACAGAAACCACAAAATTATTCAATTTCATAAAGACCAACAAACTACAATGAAAATATAATTCACTAGTCATGCTAAGTCCTGATGTGGCACTACAGGACAATGTACTAGATTGCAAGGTCAGTTTGAACTGCAAGGTCAGCCGTTCAAACCCACCAATCGCTCCTTGGAACCCCTACACAGGGTCGCTATGCCTTGGAACTGACTTGATGGCACCTCACAACAAAAGTCATGATAAAGAGCACTGGTGGAGTAGTCGGTATGAGTTGGGCTGCTAACTACAAGGTCAGCATTTGCCATCCGTCAGTTGCTCTGCAGAAGGAAGATGAGGCTAATTGCTCCTTTAAAGATAATATAGCCTCAGCAACCCTATGGAACCGTTCTGGGTGGGCACTTATGATTAAATTCGAAATATAATACACCACCTAAACCCTCCAAACAACATAAAACAAAACTTACAGCCTGAAGTTACTGTGATTCCATAAACATTTTGCTGAATTTGTCCAAATATATAAATGTTACAAGTGAGTTGAGTATTTAATAAAGATATATCTGTAAAGGTGACACTAGATGCTGTTCTGTTTATGACAGTATATTGTTCCTTAGGAACAATATCATGGTTCATTTTCCAGAAAATGTTTTCAGCATTTACAGAATAATTGTCCATGCATTTTTCCTTTAGGACACAAACTGCAGTGAAGTTAGAACCAAGTTGTACAACTGGAGATTCAGGGGTGATATAAGCACACGGATCTAGAAGTAAACCTGAAAAGGAACAACAGAGAACATTGAAAATAAGGGGGGGTGGGTACAAAATGACATTTGGCAGGCAGCTAGATACAGAAAAATAAGAAAGTACACATCTATAAATAAATGCTGACAAAATTTAATGTCTACAACATTTGTAAAGAAATACACAATTTAGTAGACAGATGGAGCCGGATTAAGGAAATCTATTTAGTCTTAGGAAACACAACTGTGTGCAGCGTGATTCATATTAGACCCATTACTCCTCTTGCTTTCTTGTTTCAGGCCCAGAATTAAAAGTCTCTCTCTAGTACTGATGGGAAGTGAGACTGGGAAGGGGCAAAGAGAGAGCATGGTGGTGGTGTTAGTTGTGTGCTGTTGAGTATTTTCAGACTCACAGTGACTCTGTATAGGGATTCCTAGGCTGTAAATCTTTATGGGAGCAGGAAATCTCATCTTTCTCCCGCAGAGCAGTTGGTAGATTCGAACTGCTGACCTTGGGTTAACAGCAAAATTAGTAACCCACTACGCTACCAGAGCTCCTGAGTATAAATCACTCATAATGAACAACAAAGAAACAATTAAAACCAAACAAAAGAACAAGATGAGCAAATAAGTACATAAATTTCTTATTAAAGTTTTTAATAAGAATATCTTTCTTATCCATTTATTGGTAAAATAGCAATAAGTTTAACAATAAATGCATAGGATAAATTTATTAAAAAATAATCAGATTGGCTAAAAATAGTAAAATGCAAACATATGTTTTAACTACCACCTACTACATGTTGATACCGCTACTCATCCTGAGTATATTTCATCTGAATTTAAAGACCACCTCAAGGAGCGAGCTGACACATTTGACACTAATGATGGAACGCCAGAGGAGTTGTGGGATAACATCAAAATCATACAAGATGAAAGAAAGCAAAAGGTCATTAACAAGACAGGAAAGAAAAGATCAAAATGGATGCCTGAAACTTGCTCGTGAACAAAGTAGCTAAAGCTAATGGAAGAAATAATAAAGTAAGAGAGCTGAAAAAAAAAAAAAGTAAAAAAACAGCTCGGAAAGAAAGAATTATAATGAAATGTGCACAGGCCTGGAAATAGAAAACCAAAAGGAAAGAACACAATTTGCATTTCTCAAGCTGAAATAACTGTGGAAAAAAAAATTTAAGCCTCAACCTGCAATATTGAAGGAGTTCATGTGCAAAATATTGAATGGTGCAGGAAACATCAAAAAACAATGAAAAAGTGTATGATTTGTTGAATGTGAAACTGATTAACTTGTCTGTAAACCTTCACTAAATTCACAATTAAAAGTTTTAAAAAATGTTTTTTTTTAAAAAAAAGGTGGAAAAAATACACAGTCACTGTGCAAAAAAGAACTGATCTATAGTCAACCATTTGAAGAGGTGACATGTGAACAAGACAAGAACCAATGGTAGGGAAGGAAGAAGTCAAAGCTGCACTGAGGGCATTGGTTAAAAACAACAACAGAACAAGGCTACAGGAATTATAGTGAAACCAACTGAAATGTTTCAACAACAAACTGATGCTACACTGGAAGGACTCACTAATTTACGCCACAGGTACCTTCAAATGAACGTTGTATAGGGTTTCTGAGGTGTGGTTGGTGGGTTTAAACTGCTGATCTTGCAGCTAGCAGTCCAGGGCTTAACTTACAGCACCACCATCAATATCTCTAATTAGCCTCCTCCAACCCCCAACTAGATTCATGGTGTGGCACTATAGCACTGGACTGCGAACCACAAGAACTGTGATTCAAACCCCCAGCTGCTCCGTGGAAACCCTATACAGAGTTTCTATGAGTCGGAAAAGATTGATGGCAACTAAAAACAAGAGCCCCCAACTGGATAACATTGTGAAGAACAGTGTTCCATAACGGTATTCCACTTAACTGTGCTCAGCAGTTATCTGTATATACATATAGAGAAAGAGGCAGTTGGTTGAACAAAACAGGGGGATACTGAATGGTTTAAAACCAGGAAAAGATGTGTCCCGGGGTTGTATACTTTCACCACGCATGTGCAATCTGTTGTGCTGGGCAAATAATCTGAAAAGCTGAATCATATGAAGAATGAGGCATCAGGACTGGAGAAAGACTATTAACAACCTACAATATGCTCATGATACAAGTTGGCTTGCTAAAGCGAAGAGGACTTAAAAATACTTACTGATGAAGCTCAAAGACTGTAGCCTGCAGTATGGATTGTGCCTCAATGTGGAAATAAAAATACTCACAAGTGGACCAATAAATAATATCATGATAAATGGAGAAAAGGTTGAAGTTGTCAAAGACTTTATTCTGCTTGGATCCATAATCACTCCTGCAAGCAGCAGTGAGGAAATCAAACAACATATTGTATTAGGCAAATCTGCGGCACAAGACCTCTTTCAACAAACTAATGCGGCACTGGCAGCTCCTACTCATCTATGCCAAGATTTTGGAAGACAGCTAGCTGGCCAAATGACTGGAAAAGATTCATATTTGTGCCCATTCTAAAGAGAGGAGACCCAACAGAATGCAGAAATCATGGGGCATTAATATCGCATGCAAACAAAATTTTGCTATACATAACTCAAAAATGGCTGCAACAACATATTGACAGGGAACTTCCAGAGGTTCAAGCTGGATTCAGACAAGATGTGGAATAAGGGATATAATTGCTGATATAAGACAGTTCTTGGCTGAAAGCAGAGAATACCAGAAAGATGTTTTTATCTGTGCTTTATTGACTATGCAAAGGCTTTCAACTGTATGGATCATGACAAGCTATAGACAACACTGCAGAGAGTATGCTAGAATGCTTAATTGTGCTCATAAGGAATCTGTACATAGACCAAGAAGCAGTTGTTCAAACAGAATAAGGACACATTGAATGGTTTAAAATTAGAAAAGGTATGCACCAGGGTTGTATTCTTTCACCATACTTACTTGATCTGCATGCTGTGCAAATAATCCAAGAATCTAGATTATATGAAGAACATGGCCATCAAGAATGGGGAAGACTCATTAACAAACCTGCGATATGCAGATGATACATCCTTGCTTGTTGAAAGCAAAGACAAGCTAAAATACTTATGAAGATCTAACACCACAGCATTCTGTTTGGGTTGCACCTCAATGTAAAGGAAACAAAAGTCCTCACCACTGGGTCAATAAATAACATCAAGTGGAGAAACGATTGACATTGTCAGAGACTTCATTTTGCTTGGATCAATCAGCACTCATGGAAGCAGCCGTCAAGAAATCAAATGACACATTACATTAGGCAATGTTCTGCACAAGACCTCTTGCAACTGTTCAAGAGCAAAGATGTCAGTTTGAGGACTAAGGTACACCTGACATAGCCATGATATTTTCAATAGCCTCATATGCATATGAAAGTTAATCAAAAAATAAGGAAGACCAAAGAAGAATTGATGCATTTGAGTTATGGTGTTGTAAGAGAATATTAAAAGTACCATGGCCTGCCAGAAGAACAAACAAATCTGCGTTGGAAGAAGTACAGAGTATTCCTGTAAAAAGCCAGGATGGCCAGACTTCATCTCTTATACTTCCAACATATTATAAGTAAGAACCAGTTCCTGGAGAAGGAAATCATGCTTGGTAAACTGGAACGTCAGAGAAAAAAAGGAACACCCCCAACGAGATGGGAGTGGCACCATAGCAGCAGCAATAAGCTCAAATGTAGCAATGATTGTGAGATTAGCGCAGGGCTAGGCAGTGTTTCGCTCTGTTGTGCATGAGTGGTACCAACTCAACGGCAAACAACAACAAATGAAGTTCCAGTTTGTAGTCCTTCCACTCAGATCTGTGTGGGTAGGTGTGTCTGCTCCAGCCATTGGAGTGAGCTATTTGACTTCAAAGACTAGGTCATCATTAAAATACAGTTTTCCACTTGAATAGATCACACTCTCTCTCTCTTTTATGGAATATTTGCCCTTGGAACCCAATCACATGCTATATGAAAGCCAAGGCCACATATGTGTGCTTTGGCTACCAGTGGCAGCAAGTCCTTAGCTTACAGCCAGCAGTGAACAAATCTGCCGATGACTGTAGCCCCCGTCTGAGTTTTCCAGCTAAGGGTCCCATTATCATAAAGCAAACATGAACCAGTCTGCCTGTACCTGACTGTATTCTTGATCCACACAAACCACCATAGATAACATATGATTACTGTTGTTTCAAGCCACGGTATTTTGGGGTAATTTTTGAGATAGTAAACTCCTTAATATTTTGAGGCATTAACTTCTTAATAATTTCAATATTTTTACTAACAATTTGGGGAAGACATAGAAGATACGCTTACCAAGTTTCATGAAACTTACCTAAAGACTCAGTGGTGAGGAAAATAAACGAGGCTTGCACTATCTCAGTCCACAAAATTAGCATCTTGTATAGAGATTTCTGTAAAAGACACATGGAATATTGTTTTTAATATTTCTTCTCTTATACACATAAATAAAAAGTTGCTAAAATTCCTATAAGAATGCTGAAAACAAGTATTTGAAATATTTTCCTTTATTTCCATGGAAGCTATGGCTATGTAAAACACTAGAAGATATAATTTATATTTTAAGATTAATTAAAAGAGCACCAAGTAAAACGACAAAAATGACCAAAATTAGACAAAAGTATGTATTACAAGTTTGTACTCAATTACCAACATTGTGACTCAGCTGACTGTTAGCAGTTACATTTATTAAGAAATATAATCAGACTCTTAGTGTAACACGAACTATTATGACTCTGTGCAGCTAAAGTTTATCTTCTATCCTTAAAAATTTTATGGGGGCCAGATTTCTTAAGGTGTCCATTTATTGCTAGAAACAATTAAATTTGTTGGCTTTCTATGGCATATAACATTAATTCTGAAACTACCATGCAAAATAATGAATGAGTACATCACTTAATGTGGGGCACAAAACAACCTGAAATAATATTCTAATTCAGATACATGAAACTGACACACATAATTATAATTTTTTATAGATTTTATGCCATCAGATCATACTGATTATCCCAAGTAATATCTAACAATTATCTTCAGATATGTAAATGTCTTCATCAAATATTTTTTTGAATTAGTTACACTGATACTTACATTGAAAAAAAAAATCACTTTATAGAGTACAAAGTATATTCATTTTTTTAACATAACCATGTTCTTGAGTGCTTTCAAGTCGATTCTGACTCATAGCAATTACATGTGACACAGCAAACTCTTCATAGGGCTTTCCAGACTGTAATCATTATGGGAGCAGTGAAGTTCCTTATCTTTCCTTCTATTTTTCCACAAATTATTGAAGCTTCCTAGTAATTCCCTAATATCAAATACCAAATCAGTACTGATATTATTTATTCAAATTTCCTTGCTTCATAATTTGTTTTAAACAATTTGTTTTTATCAGGATACAAAATAGGTTTACATGCTGCATTTGAGAGATTTGTCTCAAAAATCCACTTGAATCTGCAGGTTGTCCTTTCCTTTTTTCCCCTTGATATTTTTATTTTGAAAGAATTAGGTCTGTTGTCCTATAAATATTCTCACATTCTAGATTTTGCTGACTGTATCGCCACGATGTTATCATTCATGTTCTCCCTACATGTGGGGCTTTTAAAAACGACACATGTGCCTGGGTTTCACCTAACAAACGGAATCTCTGGGGGTGAGGTCCTGGCATATGTACCGCTTCCTAAACTTCTCAGGTGATCCTAATGAGCAGCAATGTGAGTCTTACTACCCAAAGATTCTTATCTACTACAGTTTTTCAGAAAATCAGACTTAAAAATCTATGTAATAATTTCTCATTAAAGGAAAAAAATACGTAACTAATAAACTCCCATTCTTCTTCAGTTCCAGTTTCACCACTATTTGAATTTGTCATGTACATCTTATGCTTCCATTACATACGTTGTTGCTGCCACTGTTAAGTACCATTAGTCAGTTCTGACTCATAGCAACCCTGTCTAGCATTTACAAGGAACACCTGGTGGATGTGAACTGTTGGCTTTGTGGTTGGCAGTCCTACAGTGCTACACCAGTAGTCTATTATACATGGTTATGTGCCATGGAATCAGTTCCGACTCATAAGGACCGTGTACATGGTTTCTGAGGTTGTAAATCTTTACAGGGGCAGAAAGCCTCATCTTTCTCCCGCAGAATGGCTGGTAGTTTCACACTGCTCACCCTGAGGTTAGCAGCCCAATTCATAACCACTACGCTCCCAGAGCTCCTTATTAAATCACGTATCACATTAAACTTATTCTAGGAATAAACATTCTTGGCTAAATAGTACCAAAGGAGCTCTGGGAGCATAGTGGTTACTAGTACCAAAGGAGCTCTGGGAGCATAGTGGTTACTAGTCGGGCTGCTAACCTCAAGGTCAGCAGTTTGAAACTACCAGCCATTCCGTGAGAGAAAGATGAGACTTTCTGCTCCCATAAAGATTTACAGCCTCAGGCTGTAAATTATGCAGGCTCGCTATTAATCGGAACTGACTTCATGGCACATCACCAACACCAGACATCACCTTTAGCTCTATATCATGTCAGGATTGTTGTTAAGAGCCATTGAGTCGGTTTCAGCTCATATGCTGTTATTGTTAAATGCCGTCAAGTCAATTTTGACTCATAGTAAGCCTGTATAGGGTTTTCCAAGGCTGATGGATTGGAACTGCCAATCTTGTAATTAACCGTTTAGTGCTTATTCTACAGCACCACATGTTGTTATTAAGTGCCAGTGAGTTGGTTCCTACTCATATAGCAAGCTCTCTATTGGGTTTTTCACAAGTGGCTGGTAGGTTGGGACTGCCAATCATGTGGTTAGCAATCCAGTGCTTATCCTACAGTGCTACACCAAGATTCCAATGGCTATATTATCTGAAACACAGCTCTGAAGAGTTTACTTTGTATTGGGGATGGGGAAAAGGGAACAGGGAGTGAAGGGGTACACACCTGTGCAGAAAACAGAACATCTACATAAACACTGGAGTCCTGGTGGAGCACTGTAGGATAAGCACTGGACTGCAAGGTTGATTTGAATCGCAAGGTGATGGTTCAAATCTGTCAGCTGCTCCTCGGAAACCCTAAACAGGGTTGCTATGAATCAGAACCAACTCGAAGGCACTTAACAACAACAACAACAAAATCACTAAAAAAAAACTGTACCAAAGGCACCGATATGATATGCACAATTCAGAAGTAATGATGAAACCAATCTACCCCTGGAGCAAAGGATAAAAATGCTTTAGTTTTAGTTATGAGAAAACAAAAGTTTGGAGATGGAAAAAGCACATTTTAACAGGGACTACAGCTCTGATGAGTCCTGATGTGGTAATGTAGGATAAGCATTGAAGAACTACTAACGCCAAGGTTAGTGGTTCAAACCCACCAGCCACTCCTTGGAAACCCTACACATGATCGCTATTGAGTCAGAACCAACTCGATGGCACTTAACAACAATAGCTTTGATTGTGCTGAAAGGAAGTAGCCCCTGTTCTGGATATATATACGTATAGCTTTAGAGCAGTAATCTAGAGTCCTATTTCAATAGAGTTCTCTGCTCATCATAATCAGTAAGCTACCTTATTTCTCACTGAATCTCAGTAAGGTATACTAGACAGGCACAGAATAAAAGACTCCTACCATTATACCAACAATCACAGTGTTTCTCAAACATTTCACATGGTTCCCTGAACTTCTTGAATTTCTCATATCCCCTGGTTTCTATGAAACACCACTTTGGTTACCTAGTCACATGACTATGTGGCTGAACTTTCCTTTACTTACTATCTTGTCTCCTATACTGAATTCTCCGCCAACTTTTGTCCCCCAGCTATGAATATACTCCAAAGATAAAAGCATATGGCTTCTATTCACTTTCGATACCAATTTCTTTAGAGACATATGACTTCAACCATTACCTTCAAACAAAATAATTCTGTCTTAGCCTTCCTTGTAGTTCAGTTACCTGGTAGCTTCTTGGAAATTCTGCCTCTGATTCAAATAAATTCAACAGATCTAAAAACAATACACACACACACATTCATGAACACATATATACATAAATGTGTACACACTTTTCAATCACAGCACTTCTTACCTCCATTTAAAAACAACTCACTTTCTCTCTAACTGCCCAAGCCAATAGAGGTCATCATCCTTCACTCTTACCTTTCCATTGCATTCTATTTTTCTTAGTCACAAATTTTACTGTCTTTTCATACAATTTGTCCCTACCATTACCAATCTAATTTAGACACTGATTACCTCACTACTACCTTCCATCTAGGGCATTCTGAACATTAGTGGTGGGTGAATCTTTCTAAAACACTGCCTTAAATATGCCGCTCTTTTCCTCAATAATAATGCCAAACATTTTAGGCATTCAAGGGCCTAAAAAATTGGACCCAACTTACCTGTCAAATCTATCTTCTTCAATATTCAAGTTTCTTTCTCTCCTAAAATTTATTCTTTCCTCAAATCTTCTCCCTCAAGTCATACCACCACTAAACTTTTAGGAAAAATAGCAAGCAATCTGACATCTACTCCCCACCATGCGGAAATCATTTTTGTAGTTTCCCAACTGCAAAGTAAATATTTCAATGCCACACTTCACTTGTCCTCATTATGCTGCTATTCACAATTTGGCTCACCTTTCATCATTCCCTTCTACCATCTCTATAGAGTCTCTGCTAAAGCAGCTGCAAACTATTAGACTTTCTCTTACGCATTTGGTTCTTTTGGAGTTTGTGCTTCTATGTATATTACCCTGCCTCTAGAATGCGTTTCCCTGCCTCTGCTGTTATCATACTAACTCATTAAGAGTCAGGTGATACAGTTCTTCTGTGGAATTTCTCTCCACTATTAGGAACATCTTTGCTCCTAATGTGCCTGTAAGTATATGGGGGCTTCAAAAGGTTTGTGGAAAAATGGAATTTAAAGATAACATAATTTTTCCACAAACTTTTGAAGTGCCCCCTCCATATATAGTTGCCTAACAGGATTTCAAATTATTGCATTGTAATTATTTGTTTATAAGTCTTGATATCATCAGAATCTAATATACAATTTGAGGCACAGAGCATATACTGAAAAGTGCATTTTAAAAGGCCTTTTACAGGTAGAAGACACATGGAGGCACTGAGGAGTTACAGTGAAGAGAGGTAAATACTGTTAACAGGTAGAGTCCTGGAGTGCTGTGGGCTAATGCATCAGACTGCAAAGTCATTTCAACTGCAAGGTTGGTGGTTCAAGCTCACCAGCTGCTCCTTGGAAACCCTGTACAGGGTCGCTATGGGTTGGAATCGACTCAATGGCACTTAACAACAACTGTTAACATGTGGTAATTGGAGGAAACTGCAATCATTGTAATGAAGTGAAGTAAACGA